TGTGACTAAGTGGCTATTAAAAAAGACTGGACATACCCACTTTGCAATAACTTTGGTTGTCTACTATTGCAAATGGAATGCCATTATGGGGGTAATTCTCATTCCTGGGTTACCATACGGTCTCAAAGGAAACATAACCAATCTGGCGAATTTCAATGTGAAAAAACTAAAACGCAAGCCTTGTATATGATTTTGTAACTTTTGAAAACACCATAAACCTGTACATGAGGGGTACTGTTATACTATGGAGACTTTGCTGAACGCAAAACCGTAAAACGTATCACAACAATTATATCGTCAGTGTGCCGTTTGTGTGTGAAAAATGCAAAAAACATCACTTTCACTGATGATATCATCGTTGTAATACATTTTACTGTTTTGAAACACTAATATTTGTGTTCAGCGAAGTCTCCCGAGTAAAACAGTACCCCCAATGTATAAGTTTTAAGGTGTCTTGGAAAGTTACACGGTTAAATATAGCAAATTAAATTCTCTGGACTTTCTGCCTGGGTCATCAGGCAGGTCCTGCAAATTGTAATTAATAAAATGACAATTATGTAAAACTATTACATAAATATATATATATATATATATATATATAAAACAAGAAAGGAAATATTAGAGGTGGACTAAGTGCACATCAAAAATTCCCAGAGAGGGTTACAGAGATATCAAGGGGCATGAACCCCACAAAATAGTTTAAAGTAAAAGAAAAGGTTAAAGTGAAATGGTTGTTCCACTAAGGATGGAAAAGTTGGACATCCACTTCACTAAATGATATCTCTAAACTATTAGAATAATTATTAGGTATAACCTTTATTAAGCCGTCTTGAGGCAAAACAAAAAATAAATAAAGTGTGATAATAGTGAAACACTTGTGAAAAAACAAGTGAAGTAAAAACTGGGTAGATGCAATATGGATATCCTCAGTAATGGAGTGGCTAAGATATCTGCACTGAAAATTATAGTAAAGAGTTCAGTATAGTACAATATGTATTCAGTCAAATACCACAAAGCCACTCCTCTAGAGAAAAAATCCCCATAATCTGCAGGGATCTAAAAATATCCCAGCTATATAGAGGTAAATCCACATAAATTACCATAGGCTCTAATATATTGTCAAAGCATACACTTTAGACTTAAGTAAATAGTGTCCATATATAATCAGTCTATCATAGAACTTGTCTAAAATGTTGCAAATGAAAAAAGAGTCTAGAAAGGAGCTGAGAGACACTGTATATATAATATGCTACTTAGTATTTAGTACTTAAATAGAGTAGTATAAATGATTATTCACTTAGTGAAAAGAATATCTCAATAGACAAATTAGAGCCCAGATATATAGATAGATCTAAAGAAATGATTAAACAAAGTAATCCTGGGGGTTAGTGTGCAGGTGTCTCATAGTAATAGTAGGATGGATTAAGGATTCAATCCCTATGTATATATAGAGGCAACCACCAGACAAAAGCATCCCTCCCAGGAACAAAAAAACACTTAAATATGTAAAAAATCAAAAAGATCTATATCTGCACTCGCCAAAGCTAGCTCCTATAGACACTACACATTGCTGCTTCGAGGCAGCCTAACGCTATAGGTCGCTGGCTAAACAGTCTAAGTGATTCTAATAATGAATCTCCTAATGATGCTACTAACTATTATTACAAAGAAAATTTTAACTAAGTAGTCTGAGTAAATACTCCAAATGAGTCCCCCAGCATTAAGTGACTAAATCACTGCTTGCATCCCCCAGTAATAAAAACAAACAAACGGCAAACGCTCGACGCGTGTTTCGGCGTGGTCACACGCCTTTATCAAGAGCTCCTGGCACGGCTGAAAAAGGGAGGGTAAATTTATATCGGGAGAAGCCCCGCCCATACAGTTACGTGTTCCAATCGGCATTAGCCGGGGGCGTGGCTATAAGCCGATCGCGCCCTCCTCCTTCTAGGGGCTTGTCTCACTGGAAACCACATGTACACATACAGCGTTAGCTGTCACTATGGTGACGCGACCACCCTGACTGCATACAAATGCAGTACAGGTTGTCCGTCAGCTTAAAGGCTTCCACTTAAAGATCCATTGCCTACTTTAATCAGGTATATACTAGCCAGATAATATATTGGGAGTAAAATCAACTTAGTAGTTATCTGATAGAGAGAAATGGCCTTAATTTAAAAAATGCATCTACATTATAAAACAGAGGGTATATGTCACAGAGTCATTCTAAGACTCAAGATTCAATTATAAATAGACATATTAACTCATTTCTCATTTCAATCCATCAGTCACTATTTTAGCAATAATCACTAGTATGTCATATCGTGGTGTTAACAGCATTAACTAAACCTAAGACCCAATTAATTAGGAATCAGCTATATGTGTTTATTAAATATTGTTCCACCATACATGTAAATTAGATATTTATTAGATATTACTCCCACAGTGGCAGAATAATGACAAATTATAAAGTATATCCTTAAGTATATAGTTTTCATTCTAAGTGTATATATTTCGTTCTAAGTGTGTTTTGATATCAATATATATTAATATCAAAATACAGTTAGAACAAAATTACACATTTTTTTATTATTTTTTATTTTTAACGTATTTATATATTTATTTACTTTATAATATACATATATATATATATATATATATAATTAATATAATTCTACATGTATTTTGATATTTATATAACTATATATAAATATTATTATATTAAAATACACTTAGTGTATGTGTATAAATATATATATATATATATATATATATATATATATATATATATATATATATACACATATACATACACACACACACATAGATCATATATATTATATATGATCTAAGTATATATTATTTTATTTTAAACTGTTTTTAACCTTTATTTAACTTTTTACAGGCAGCAGGGGGACTACCTGTCATTCCCTGCTGGCACTGCTATGGATGGCTATTCCGTCCATGTGATCGTGATGCCAGGTGAGCAGGTAAGTGGCCAGGACGGCATGGACATGCTATGCGGCCTGCTGGCGTTTAGAGCTGGGTCCCCAAGCACGCCTGCCGTCCTTAAGGGGTTAAAACATCTAGCCTCCCTGCCCCCCTCAAACACCCTTCCTATATTTAGTAAAATCCTACTTGTATTCAAGTCTGCAGCCACTGCCTCTGATCTGCCTGCTTGGCTGACATCATCAGAAGTGATTTTCTGAGCCAATTAAAATGCTTTCCCATATAATTGGCTGAGACTGACACAGAAGCAGATCAAGGGCAGAGCCGACACAAATCAAGCCCAGCTCTGGCCAATCAGCATCTCCTCAGAGATACATTAAATCAATGCATCTCTATGAGTAAACTTCAGTGTCTATATGCAGAGAGTGTAGACACTCAATTTCAGTGCTGCACAGACTGAATGGCAGTGTTGCACAGTGTGCAGCACTGCCCCAGGAAGCACCTCTAGTAGCCACCTGAGGAGTGGCCAGTGAAGTTATCCCTAAGCTGTAATGCAAACACTGCATTTTCTTTGAAAAGACAGTGTTTACTGCAAAAAGTCTGAAGGGAATGATTCTACTCACCAGAACAAATACATTCAGCTGTAGTTGTTCTGGTGACTATAATGTCCTTTTAAGGTGTATTCATAATGTTTAGTATATCATAATACAACATTTCTACTTACCGTAAACCTTTAGAAAAACATGAGATATTTAACCAGTGCCAGATTTGAGTAACATATATTATGATTTAACAAACTGGGGTATGGAAAAAATAAAAGCATTTAGCTTTCCCACATTAACAATAAAAAGTTTACATTCCCTCAAAATTACATTGCAAGTGTCCGATGTATTTATAATAGCTTCAAAAAAATTTATAATAGCTTCAAAAAAGAAAGCTGGGCTTTACTCTGTAAGGCAATTTTATATATTCACATACATCTGCACAAAATGCCAAAACTTCATTATAAACACCAAGAGCCAGCAGTAATCAGTAAATTGTTTGAAGTCAGCTTTCCAGGTTTGGTAAAGACTCATATAGAACATTATGCAGGCCTTAACTCAATGGCAGCTTTATTACCTTTGACCTTTGAAATCTCTTTTAGTTTTCCATGTTCTGCATCGTCACTAAATTCATCCTCATCCTCTTCATCCTCATCTGGATGATGTAAAGAAATTACTGTACTCTCTAGGATCTGCAGATCTGGGCCCACAACCACCTGAAGGCAAGATTGAAATATAAGTTAACTTTGAGAACCTGGTGAAGTTTGGTTTAACTATAGACTGCTACCTTCACATCCACATGCTCATTCCATTACCTTAGAAGTTAGGACACAGTTGGCATTTATCTGCACCCTTTTTTTTACAATCACATTGTCGCAAATGATTGACGTTTTGATAGTGACATCATCTTCAATGTGAACCCCATCCCAGATGTACACATTCTCCAAAGTAACTCTGTCACCTGTCAGAAAGAGCAAAAGGAGACTCTTACTAGGAACTTGCCAACACGTGTACTTTTTTGTGTAGTAATTTGTTGACAAAGTTCCACTAGATAATTTGTAGGCTGAATACTAGTGTTTCATCTAAACTGCATTCTGCACGAGATGTGTGGGTGCCTGAATTCTTTAAAAAAAAAAACAATTTAAAAAATAAATATGGCTTTACAATGCTTAATCCATTGCATTCTTAAGCACATCCTCATTATTTTCCATAAGACTAACTAATTCAGAGGTATATTCACTAAATAGCAATTTGTTGAGAATAAACAGAGGCAACAGAAAACATGGGTCTGTATTTTATTTATATAATTTTACAAAATGAATTGAATAAATTCAACCAAAACAAAACCTTTTAATCCACACACAAACTAATCAATGTGTTCACATAAATGATTCCCTGAACAAGCAGATTTGTTCTGTTGTGGATTAAAAGTTTCATTTAAGGCCGAAATGATTTTTTTGCACAAGTGTACATTAAACCAATGTTGTAATGACATACATTAAACAAATCTGAGTTCTTCACTTTCCACTCTGATTGCTACTCACTTTTACTGCTCACTCTCTGCTTCACTAGCCAATCATTATACTCTCACTTCCCTCTTACCGATACTGCATTTTCTTCCAATGCTAGTGTTGCTGATGTTGCAGTTTGCTCCAATAGTGGTATTGCTCCCAATCAGCACATTTTCTCGCAGAGTGCTACCATGGCCTCGGCTAACCTCTGACCCTCGGTATATATTATGACGGGCGTGTGTACAACACTGGGACTCTTGGTCAGTGAAATTTGTTTCTGGGGTAAGAGGGTAGAGCCAGCGGCAAAGGATATCTAAGGTCACAGCTTCATACATCAGCAGGTTGGATACCCGGGCACCATACTCTTCTTGGGTTACATGAAGGTGGATCTGATTTCCTAAGATCTACACACAGACATAAAGATAATTACAAATGTAATCAGAGCACAGAAAAGGGCACATCTTTTAATATACTAGTACAGATGCCTCACCTCTTCATTTACTAAAATGCCACGGACAAAATCGTCCCTTGTCTGATAATCAAAGTTATCTGTGAACAGTTCTGCAACCTATAGGGAGAAAAATGGAAAAAACACAGAATGTATAGGAAATGGAGGTGATGGGAAAAAATTCAATTGAAAAAGTAAGAACAGAACAAACACAAAAAAGTATACGAGAGGTAAAATCGATTTTCTCAACCTGATAAATCACACATATCATAGAAACATAGAATGTGACGGCAGATAAGAACCATTCGGCCCATCTAGTCTGCCCAATTTTCTAAATACTTTCATTAGTCCCTAGTCTTATCTTATAGTTAGGATAGCCTTATGCCTATCCCACGCATGCTTAAACTCCACCTCTACCACTTCAGCTGCAAGGCTATTCCATGCATCCACTACCCTCTCAGTAAAGTAATACTTCCTGATATTATTTTTAAACCTTTGTCCCTCTAATTTAAGACTATGTCCTCTTGTTGTGGTAGTTTTTCTTCTTTTAAATATAGTCTCCTCCTTTACTGTGTTGATTCCCTTTATATATTTAAATGTTTCTATCATATCCCCCCTGTCTCGTCTTTCCTCCAAGCTATACATGTTAAGATCCTTTAACCTTTCCTGGTAAGTTTTATCCCGCAATCCATGAACCAGTTTAGTAGCCCTTCTCTGAACCCTCTCTAAGGTATCAATATCCTTCTGAAGATACGGTCTCCAGTACTGTGTACAATACTCCAAGTGTGGTCTCACCAGTGTTCTGTACAATGGCATGAGCACTTCCCTCTTTCTACTGCTAATACCTCTCCCTATACAACCAAGCATTCTGCTAGCATTTCCTGCTGCTCTATTACATTGTCTGCCTACCTTTAAGTCATCAGAAATAATCACCCCTAAATCCCTTTCCTCATATGTTGAGGTTAGGACTCTATCAAATATTCTGTACTCCTCCCTTGGGTTTTTACGTCCAAGATGCTCATACATTGATTGCAGTGGAGCATTTTGAGGTAGAGGCATTTGGGTTCATCCACTGTACTATCAAGATTGCCAAGATATTGATCAAATGTTCATTGCAACCCTTTCCAAGCATTTTGAAGGAGTTTGGCATGAAAATATATTGTATTGCATGCGATCAAGGTGGGATTAAAGAATCACTTTAGGCACCCAGACCACTTCAGCTTAATGAAGTGGTCTGGGTGCCTGGTTCAGCTAGGGTTAACCATTTTTTTTTTTTTTTTAAATAAACATAGCAGTTTCAGAGAAACTGCTATATTTACACTGAGGGTTAATCCAGCCTCTAGAGCCTCTCACTGTGAAAATCACAGTGAGAAGACGCCAGTGTCCATAGGAAAGCATTGTAAATGCTTTCTTATGAACTGGCTGAGTGCGCGCGTGGCTCCTGCTGCGCATGCGCATTAAGCCGATGACGTCACTAGGAAGGAGGAGAGGAGGAGGAAAGCTCCCTGCCTGGCGCTGGAGAAAGGTAAGATTTTAACCCCTTCCTCTCTCCAGAGCCCGGCGGGAGAGGGTGCCTGAAGGTCGGGGGAAACCCACAGACCACTATAGTGGTCCTTTAAGTAAGTGATATATGCTTTACCAGGGAAGAGGGATGGGTTAATATTTCAGCTAGTTTAACCCCTTAAGACCGGAGGGCGTACTATTACGCCCTATTCTAAGCGGCTCTAAACTCCGCCGGGCGTAATAGTACGCCCTCCGGTCTTTTCCTACTTACCCGGTCGCCGGCGATCCCATGCCGGCGATCGCGGTTGGGGGAGGGGACTACCAGGGAGCCCCCCGCGGCACGTCCGACGTCCTGGAAGCCCCCCGGCCAGGGGCGTATTAGCCGCGAGGCAAACAAGGCATTTGCCTTGGGCGGCATTTTTCAGGGGGCGGCAAAAAACGCCGCCCCCCAAATGCCTAGTTAGCCTCGCGGCTAACTGACATCCCGAGCGGGCGGGCGGCGCTGGCAGGCGGGCGGCGCTGGCAGGCGGGCGGCTGGCGAGGGAGCACTTCCTATGAGCTGTGTGCTAGCTCCCTCGCGCAGCAGAGTGAGGCTGGGAGCCGGAAGATGACGTCATCTTCCGGCTCCCAGCCTCACTCTGCAGCCGGCGCGCGAGGGAGCTGAGCACACAGCTCATAGGAAGTGCTCCCTCGCCAGCCGCCCGCCTGCCAGCTCCACATGCCCGACCTGCAGCCACTCGACCACCAGGGAGAGAGACCCCCCCCCCCACAGCACTCCCAAAAGGTAAGGAGGTTGGGGGGGGGATTTAAATAATAAAAAAAAAGTTAATGTGTGTTTGTGTCTGACTGTGTTTGTGAGTGTGTGTGTGTTTGTGTCTGACTGTGTGTGTGTATGTGTCTGACTGTGTGTGTGTTTGTCTGTGTGTGTTTGTGTCTGACTGTGTTTGTGTGTTTGTGAGTGTGTGTGTTTGTGTCTGACTGTGTTTGTGTCTGTGTATGTGTCTGTGTGTATGTGTCTGACTGTGTGTGTGTATGTGTCTGACTGTGTTTGTGTCTGTGTGTGTGTGTGTGTTTGTGTCTGACTGTGTTTGTGTTTGACTGTGTGTGTGTGTGTGTGTTTGACTGTGTGTGTGTGTGTGTGTGTGTTTGTGTCTGACTGTGTGTGTGTGTGTTTGTGTCTGACTGTGTGTGTGTTTGTGTCTGACTGTGTGTGTTTGTGTCTGACTGTGTGTGTGTTGTGTGTCTGACTGTGTGTGTGTGTTTGTGTCTGACTGTGTGTGTGTGTTTGTGTCTGACTGTGTGTGTGTTTGTGTGACTTTAGAAGGTGGGGGAAGGGGTTGGGTGGGGGGGGCTGGGGGGGCGCCTGAGTTTTGTCCTGCCTAGGGCAGCACAAAACCAGGATACACCACTGCCCCCGGCCATGTGAGAGTGGGGTCCTTGCGAGGACCCCACAATCACATGGCCGGGGGTAGCTGCCTCCTGCATTGCCAGCAGGGGGGCTGCCTGTAATGACAGGTGGTCCCCCTGCTGGCTGAAAATAAAATTAAATAAATTAAAAAGTGTAAAAAAAAAATTAATATATACTTAGATCATATATATATATATATATATATATATATACACATATACATATACACACACACAGGTACACTGTCTAGGTGTATTTTACTATTAATATATATAATTATATATATATTATCAAATTACACGTAGACTGATACTGATTAAATATATATATATATAAAATTATTGTTATATATATATATATATATATATATATATATATATATATATAATAAAAAAAAATGTAAATACATTAAAAATTAAAAAATATATAGATGTGTGTTATTTCGTTCTAACTGTATTGTGAAATAAATATATATATATATATATATATATATATATATATATATATTATTATTATTATTGCCATTTATATAGCGCCAACAGATTCCGTAGCGCTTTACAATATTTTGAGAGGGGGGGTGTAACAATAAATAGGACAATTACAAGAAAACTTACAGGAACAATAGGTTGAAGAGGACCCTGCTCAAACGAGCTTACAGACTATTGGAGGTGGGGTATTTGAAACATTAGGACAAATATATATATATATCAAAATACACGTAGAGCAAAATAATATATATATATATATCTATATACGTATATATCACTATATATATCTATCTATATATATATATATATATATATATATATATATATATATATCTATATATATATATTTATATATACACACACACACACACACACACATACATACATACCTATATATAAATAAAAATATTTTTAAAAAATTATATAGATATATACACACATACGTATATAAGGTTGCTCGGCAACCCGGTCACATGCACGTTCACGCACGTCACATGCACGCTCTCACGTGGGTCTCTCACTTGCGGGTTCCTCAGCCCGCCTACATGTATATATTGTTGTAGATAGTAATGTATCACTGTGATCTTGATAAAGACCCCAGGAGGGTCGAAACGTCGATTTTCTGTATTCTGCACAGGACATGTATTATTTCATAATACAGTAAATACCATTTTTTGCCACTCAGAAGTAGTCCTAGTGTGCTCCCTTTATTCTTTATTGTATATTTTACGCGGGATTGCACCTAGGCAATTTTTGAATCTGCTTAAATAAGCTCGAGGAGGAGTGCCTTGCCTATCTATTATTTTACTGTGTATTTGGAAAGTGCTAGCGTGGCACTTGCATGAGCACCCCCATACTATATAAAAGGCTTATCGCCTAAATAGTGATTTTCAGCGCCATCAGGATCCATTTACTATGGAGGATTTCCTAAACCAAGCTGGAGCATTAGCAGAAACAGCGGAAACTTTGTCTATTTCGGAGGAACAAGCACTCTCGGTATTATGGCCACGTAGCTCGCAAGACCTACCCCACATACACACAGCAAAAGACCTGTATAACGATCTATCTAGATTGAAAAAAAGAGAAGTGGATCTGGACTTGCATGGTGTTTTTCTGTCCGACTACTACAGATCCAAACGGATACCAAGGGGCTTTCGCATAAAAAATGCGCCAACTATAGGAAGACAGAATCCTAATTTCTGTAAGAAATGGATGAATATTTCTAATAAATGCTCCTTGGACTGGATGGTAATAGTAATTGAAGAAGTTGGGACAGAATTACTCCAAGTTAAAAAAATCAATACAGGAATTTGAACTTACTCATGTTACAGCTTTACAAGCTACGCCATCTACTGAATTTATGCTGAAACTTCAGGATGAAATACAAAAATATCAAAATGAATTAATTCGTTTAAAAAAAGTCAAGATTGAGAAGGTAAATCATGATTACAAATTTCATCAGGTTTACTGCTGGTTAAGTGGATCAGATACACGTAGCCCTGTTCCTAGGTTTAGGACACGCATAAGAAAGCCTGCTTTACAAACAGTGGACATTAGTTCAGGTGAATCAGCCTCAGACGGGGAAAAGAGGGCTTAGTCTCAAGCGGAAAAACTGGTTCCTTTTTTAAAGGATGGAGTACATCCAAACGATCCGCCACGTTCAACCAATATCAGCGAACAAAATCGAAGAGATATAAGAGACACCTTAGACGTGGACAAAAGGGTCACAAGAAATATAGGAGCCATGGGAAAACCTCCCAGACAACGGAGATAACATCTATATTTAACCTCTCAAATAAGATTTTGGACCATAACCACATCTCGCTCTTACAAAAAGGACTTACGTTTATACCGGTCGCTAAACCTAGGAAATTTGATATGGCCATTGATCTGTATAAATTACAAAGAACGCTATACAGTAATGAAATAAGGAAGGATGATAACCCCACTAAGACACATATTTTTCCGAATCGCAATAAAAAAGATATTTTTACACCTAACCCTTCGATTAGGACCTTCATGCAGGTCTTACGACATGAGATAAGCCCCATTGTGACAACACCACCTGACTATAGAGATAATCTCTCTAAAGATGAACATGCAGCACTAAAGGATTTGATTCAAGATCCCACCATTATAATCCGGCCAGCCGACAAGGGCGGTGCCATTGTCATACAAACATATGAGGATTATAGGAAAGAAATCATACGTCAGCTGTCTGATACCTTTACGTATCTAAAACTCACCTTTGACCCAGTTGCAAAATTTCAGAAGAAGATTGAAAAACGTATTGATGAAGGACTATTGCATCGGTATCTCGATGAAAACACTGCTAAATTTCTATTTGTTAAGTACCCCAAACATCCGGTTATGTACACGTTACCAAAAATACATAAGGACCTAGAACGACCACCAGGTCGTCCAATTGTGTCCGCGAAAGGTGGATTAATTGAGCCGATAGCCCAATTTGTTGATCATTATATTAATAGCAGTATAAGAAAACCACCAACATGTTTAAATGATACACAACATTTCATCAGTCAGATACAGAACATTGACCTCAGGGATAAAGAAATTATTTTGGCTACCATGGACGTCCAAAGCCTCTATACTATAATACCTAAGAAAGAAGGCATTGAAGCCATTGCTGAGATCTTGGCCAATGATGATATGTACAAGGGTCCTTATATCCCATATCTTATGGAATGGTTGGATATTGCTTTATCGTGTAATTATTTTAAATTTGAGGATACATTCTACTTACAAACTTCCGGGACTGCCATGGGTGCAGCCATGGCACCAGCCTATGCCAATGGCTTCATGTATTGGTTTGAACAGAAATATATTTTACATGCATATCAATCACACATAATAAAATATGCTAGATTTGTGGACGACATCTTTATAATATGGGAAGGTACTATAACAGCTCTTGAAAATATGGTTCAGCAGACTAATATGTTACCTATTCCAGTAAGGCTAACACTCAATTGGAACAAGCATAGCATTGAATTTCTTGATGTCAAGCTGTACAGAGACGAAAACCACCTGGGCTTTACTCTGTTTAGAAAAGCTACAGATCGGAACACTTTATTATCTGCGACCAGCTTTCACCCTCAGCATGTTAAGGACTCACTACCTATCTCACAATTCCTTCGGGTTATGAGATATAACAGCAACCCAGTCAACCGCGAACATCAGCTTCAAGAGGTCTGGGATCGCTTTCTGGCAAGAGGCTTTCACCCTAGGACTCTTGAAAAGGCTAAAAAGAATGCTTGGAATAAATTCAATCAAACCAACATCATGAATCCCAGGAAAAAGAATAATATCTTTCTTCCACTTACATTCAACACGGCAACTCCGTTCCTTAAAAAATGTATATACAAACATTGGAACATGTTTCAGGTAGATCAGAATCTTTCTGATAGATTCAAAACCAATCCTATCATCAGTTACAGACGTAATCTCAACCTTAGGGATCTATTGGTGAAAAATGATCCTCGACAGTGCTATGCTAAGATGCCCAAAATCCAAAAAAAGGGTTGTTATAGATGCAGTGGCTGCGTCACATGCAGCCATATGCTAACCGGAGCTACATTTGTTCATCCACATAGTGGGAAGAGAATCCCTATTAACCATTACATTTCATGTATGACCACACACGTGGTATACATGATCACATATCCGTGTGGACTGTCTTATGTCGGGAAAACTGACATGACTTTAAGGGATCGGATTAGGGGACATCGGTCTGGGATTACAACTGCCTTCAGAGATCAAAGAACTGACAAACCAGTGGCTAAACATTTTTTAATAGCACAACACCATTTGCCTACTCTTCGTTTCACAGCTATTGACCATGTTCCAGTTCCACCGAGAGGAGGTGACAGATCTAAGCTATTACTTCAACGCGAAGCCTACTGGATCTATCATCTAGATACAGTGACTCCAAAAGGACTTAATGAACACTTGGTTCTTTCAATGTTTCTGTAAAATCATCTCTCTTAATATCTGTATGGTATTTTTGGGACTTAAATCTTTCTTCCTGTATATAGGATTCATTATCAATGGCATTTTGCCATTTACATTGCAGCATATTGTGTGCTACTACCATCTGAATAGACAGTTTCTATTTTTTATCGTTTGGTCTGTTTCTGCAAAATACTAGATATGTTGTTTGACCACTAAATATAGTTTTGAGTTCATACGTTAATTGTATAGTTAACATGTAAAGTTTGGTTAAGACACTTAGAGATTGTGTCTAGTATTATGAAGATTAACTTTATAATTATGGCGGAGTGTTCCCTGTCTATATTGGTCAATAGTAGTTAATTGATATTATTAGTTATGATGCTCCTCCTTTAATTACAAGGTTTACCATATAGATTTATATATTATCTCTTTATTCCCCAATAGTATTATATATAACTATTGGATATATATTATTATAAGATATATAGCTTTGCTTAAAGTTAGTTGTACCACACCTCAGAGATTTATCGATCTGTTCTGTACATGTCACATTTTGTTCACATTTTTTTACACTTATAGATTTTTCGTTCACTTTCACTATACTTAGTTCACTATCAGATCGATTCTATCTTGGTGATCATAGTTAGTATTTCCTCCATAACTAGCATGCATCTCTTTGATTCTAATTCTCAGTGTGAATGGAGTTGATGCTTTGTTTCTAAGGTTGCTCGGCAACCCAGTCACATGCACGTTCACGCACGTCACATGCACGCTCTCACGTGGGTCTCTCACTTCCGGGTTCCTCAGCCCGCCGGCTGTCTGATCATCTCATTGGTAAGCTTTATTTCACCTACATGTATATATTGTTGTAGATAGTAATGTATCACTGTGATCTTGATAAAGACCCCAGGAGGGTCGAAACGTCGATTTTCTGTATTCTGCACAGGACATGTATTATTTCATAATACAGTAAATACCATTTTTTGCCACTCAGAAGTAGTCCTAGTGTGCTCCCTTTATTCTTTATTGTGTGTATGTATGTATATATATATATATATATATATATATATATATATATATATATATATATATATATATATACACACATATATTAATTCTACATATATATTTATGTAATATTTTTACATAATTAGGTATCTTAATTAATTACAATTAGCAGGACCTGCCTGACAACCCATGCCAAAAGTAAAGGGAATTTAATTTGCTAGCACTATATTTAACCCTATAACTTTCCAAGACACCATAAAACCTGTACATGGGGGTACTGTTCTACTCGGGACACTTCGCTGAACACAAATATTAGTGTTTCAAAACAGTAAAATGTATTACAACGATGATATCGCCAGTAAAAGTGACGTTTTTTGAATTTTTCACGCACAAACAGCACTTACACAGACGATATTATTGCTGCGATACTTTTTACTGTTTTGAAACACAAATATTTGTGTTCAGCTAAGTCTTCCGAGTACAACAGTACCCCTCATGTACAGGTTTTATGGTGTTTTCAAAAGTTACAGCGTCAAATATAAGGCTTGCGTTTAATTTTTTTCACATTATAATTCGCCAGATTGGTTACGTTGCCTTTGAGACCCTATGGTAGCCCAAGAATGAAAATTACCATTATGATGGCATACCATTTGCAATAGTAGACAACCCAAGGTATTGCAAACAGGGTATGTCCAGTCTTTTTTAGTAGCCACTTAGTCACAAACACTGGCCAAAATTGGCGTTTTTTGCATTTTTCACACACAAACATATACTAACGCTAACTTTGGCCAGTGTTTGTGACCAAATGGCTACTAAAAAAGACTGGACATACCCCATTTGCAATACCTTGGGTTGTCTACTATTGCAAATGGTATGCCATTATGGGTGTAAATTTCATTCCTGGGCTACTATATAGTCTCAAAGGCAACGTAACCAATCTGGCGAATTTCAATTTCAAATGTAACGTGCTATATTTGACCCTGTAACTTCCCAAAACGCCATAAAACCTGTACATAGGGGGTACTGTCTTACACGTGAGACTTTACTGAATACCAATATGTGTATTTTATTGCAGTAAAAGCAAACAGTATTATGACATTGACAGTTAAAATGTCATGTAGAACTAAAAAAAATCTTATTTTCTCCCATTTTTTTCAGATTAAATTATGTTTCATAGCTTAATATTTGATATTAAATGAAAGCCCTGTTTCCCCTGAATAAGATGATATATAATAAGGGTGGGTGCATTTACTATGAAAGAGTTGAATTACGGTTGGACAGACATGTAGCGCAAATGCCAGGTTTTGTTTACATTTTGTTTTGTTCACAACGTGTACATTTGGCTCCGTCCTTAAGGGGTTAATAAACAAGTTAATGAATAAACATTTTCTTTTTTTGTATTATACCTTTGAAATCAGACTGTTAAATCTGAAAGAAAACAGAGATAAACCAGAAACCCTATTTATGGGTGGTGAAATAATAAAATAGCACAACACATCTCCCATTACTCACCTGGGGAGAACAGATACTGATATGGCAATCCAGCAAATCATGCCGTAGTTCCACTTCATCAGTCTTACTCTGGAATATGCTCTTTAAAAAGAAAGACATAGTAAAAGTAGGCCTGATTAAAATACTAGCACATGATTATTTTTCTTTTTGATGGTATCACTAGCTAAGGCTAGATAACCAAATAGATGAGTTAATGGAGTAAATTGTTTTGTATATAGGACCAATGCTATTTCGGCAGTTATGTATTTAAATCTAATGTTTCCTATTAGACATAAATCATATAAATACACAAAGAACTACAAATTCTGGGTTGAATGACTGTACAAAAAAAAAAACAAAAAAAAAAAACAATGCCTGTGAGAACACGTTAATGGAAACTAAACATTGGATATTGCATTTGTTGTCCTATTCCCCCTTGCTGGCATAAGCAGAATAACCCAATTCTAAGACATGCCAAACTTGAAAGAGAATACAGAAAATTACGTTATTAAAAAATGTTACGAAGAAACAGCAGCAGATCGCAATGTGCTAAAAAAAATTTATGGGAGTGATTAAAGGTTGTAGTTGACAGACCTATTAATATACTTCATACTACTCTTGTAATGCTATTACCTACCAAAGAGTAGCCATTAGAGAAGATTAATTAAAATAACATTGTAGAGTTAGGAATACAAACATGTATCCCTAATGCCATAGTGTTCTGCTAACTATTTAGGTTTCTAGCCCAAAACCATGTGCATTAAAAATTCTATTTTAGATTAATTTACCTTCTGGCCCTTGCTATGCTGGCCTCTGTGCTGCTGTCCCACCTCCTTGGCTGATATCATCAACCTTGATGATCTCAGCCAATCCAATGCTTCCCCATGGGGAAACATTGGGAGGCTAGTGCACTGCACCAATCAGCATCTCCTCATAGAGTTGCACTGAAGCATTGCATCTCTAAGGAGAATGTTCAGCATCTACATGCTAAATGTAGGTCTTGCAAAGATTGCAGGACCTCATCGAGGAAGTCCCTCTAGTGGCTGTCCAAGTGACAGCCGCTAAAAGGTGAATTTTGGCAGAAATGTAAACATTGTCTTTTCTCTGCCTGCAGGGACAGGCTATATACCCAAGAAACACCACAGTAAGCTGTAGTGGTTGTAATTCTAATCACTATAGTGTTTCTTTAACTAATATACTTATGTTATACTAATAACGAACATAAGATCCACTTACCATTGGGAAATGGAACCGCTTTAGATCCTGGCTCTTCTGAAAGAGAAGTACTCTTTTTGTTTTGCTATCCATGGCAATGATGACATCGTCCTCCTGGCACCTTGTGCGATGACGTGGGGAAGACTCCTTGAGAATCATGGTCATCACAGACACATTCTTCTCCAGCTTTCGGCGTGTCCTACAAAAGTGTGGGGTATAATGTATGAATTAAAAACAATAGGTCTTTAGTGATTAAATTGAAAATAAATAAATAAAATGCATTTTAACATCACCTTAATTCCCAAAACAATTTTCATAAACACACAAGATTCCCTTTTATACCTATGTGCCTCCAGAGCTGCTTCAATGTTGATATTGGAGACCACATCCCCAGTGACTAGAATGAAGTCTGATCTCAATAAGGATTTGGCATCAACATCTCTCAAGACGTCTCCAAGAGACCGGTAAAGTTCAGATGTCACCACACGGACTACATTGGGACTTGTAGATCGACACCACTTGGAATTCCTGTACATCAAAAGGAGTGAAAGTCTAGATTTATACCAAGCTGGGAGCATTTTAGGAATATGTACAATGAAGTTGAAACTGTAACCATACTCCATACTTGTATATAATCTTTTTTTTTTTTGACAATCTTTATTTATTTATTCAGTTTTTCAATTTTAACAAGTAAAAGGTGGGGTTTACAGAAGGAAAAGAGGGTGGGATGTCGAACAGTTATTTGGAATATACAAATGCAGTAGTAAACATCCATAATTGCATAGCATTACTTATTTTACTTGTATATAATCTTATCCATCATTTCCCAACAAAATTGCTTACCTCAAATGTTCTTTTATTTCATTTGCCAACCAGCAGCAGAACACAAATGTTTCTTTAACGCCAGTTGCAGTAAGAAATTCAAGAGTGTAATCTATCAGAGCCACATTAGCTAATGGTAGAAGTGCCTGCAGATAGAATATTTACAGTGTCAGTTCCTTTTCAAGAAGGGGTATGCTAAACCTGTAACCTGCTGCTTCTCCTCTTGTGCTCTGGCTATCGTGAAAGCATTATCTCGAGCAGTGACACTCACAGTCTAATCACGGACTCCCCATCTTGAGCATGTTTGAAAATGTACTTACATTTACTCATGTTGGATGGCCAATGATAGCCTGCGTTCTCAACCGGTCACAGCCTACCCTTCACAGCTCACTAACACTTCTGCATTATTCCGAGCACAGGAGAAGATGCAGCAGTCTGGAGACACATCTCCTGTGTTAGAAGGCAAGATGGCGGAAGCAAATTCTAGGCACCACAACCATTTCATTGAGATGACATAGAAACATAGAATGTGAAGGCAGATAAGAACCATTCGGCCCATCTAGTCTGCCCAATTTTCCATAGTCATGGTGATCCAGAATGTTGCTTTAAGCTATGGCAATGGATGGTATAAAAGACATGCTCTGGCTATTGACGGATTATGCAAATTTTAAAATAAGGCTGCCTGTAAACGTATAAAATAATTTTTAAATATTTTTTTTTATTATAAAAAGGTCAAACTGTTATTTATTGCTCTATTTAATGTATTTAAATTCTGGAAAGAAATAATGGTTTCCAGTAATTTGGGTGTGGTGGGAATCTGGGATAGTGAGCAACTATCTTTTTCTTTGGTTGAAATTGGGCTGATGTGTACTTAAGTCATTGCTGCTGCCCAGGAGTAGTGGGAGTTTTTAGTGCAGGACTTCATTTTGTATGTCAGTGTTTTATTGTGTCTGTGTTTCTTTGATCCTGTATACTGGGCTCATGACTACACATCCCGCAATTTGCTTACGTGACATGTGATTTCCATAAAGCATTTCATCCCCCAGTTAGCACCTTGCTAGTACTAGATGTACGTGTGCCAGGAAGACATTGCTGTAAGTCTGCAGCTTGCTGCGCACAACCTGAGACAGCCCATTGAAGCCATGCAGCAACTCATTGTAAATGCCCTCATTGGGCTGGCATGGAGGGGGGTCATTGGGCTGGCATGGAGGGGGGTCATTGGGCTGGAGGGGTCCCTGGGCCGGCATGGAGGGGTCACTGGGCCGGCGGGGTCACTGGGCAGGCATGGAGGGGGGTCATTGGACCGGCATGGGTCACTGGGCTGGCATGGAGGGTCATTGGGCTGGAGGGGTCACTGGGCTGGCATGGAGGGGTCACTGGGCTGGCATGAAGGGTCATTGAGCTGGCATGGAGGGTCATTGGGAGAGGCATGGAGGGTCATTGGGCTGGAGGGTCACTGGGCTGGCATGGAGGGGGTCATTGGGCTGGCATGGAGGGGGTCATTGGGCTGGCATGGAGGGGGTCATTGGGCTGGCATGGAGGGGGGGGAGGGAGCCATTGCATATGGTGGCACTGGGGTTTCCATACTACAGCTGTCATTTCCCATGTTAAGCGCCCTCCCATTGCTGCCAGTCTAAGCCGTGCTCTGTTTAGTAAGTTTACCCGAGGGCGGTCCTTGGTGATGGGGAAAAATCTCCGGTTGAAGCTGTCAGCGATTAGCACGGCCTGTAGGGGAGGCTGTTCGTCCTCTCCCGCTGCCGCCCGTTTCCCGAGCCGCGAAGCCATGACATGCAGGTTCCCAACGCGTGCGCTATGTCCCTCGCCGGACACCGTACGCCCGCATGCTCGCCAAGTGTGGTGTACGGCGGCCGAAGCGGAACAAATCATTCCATACTGACTGTGCATGCGCTGGCATTTGGACAGCTTGCTACTCAAATCCGAGCGCGACCATCTTGGTACTCCTAGAGATGGTGGTGTAATAGGTCTGCAATCAATTCTACGGTGTTGCTCACTAAATCACTACTAGTAATTCAATGACAAAAAAAACAAAACAGTATGATAGCCTGTACTGCGTTGCAATGACTAACCTCAGCATTAATGCATACTTAGCAAAATATGTACATTTGCGACCTGGCATCTTTTTACACTTTTGTGGTGTTTGTGTTTGGCTGTAATTTTCCGCTTTCTCATTTACTGTTCCCATACAAATTATATATTGTTTTTTTCAGGACAAAAGGGGCTTTCTTTACATACCATTATTTATATAATCTCGTATTTTAATTTAAAAAAAATAAAAAATATATGATGAAAAATTGAAAAAAATACATTTTTTGACTTTTACTTGAAAATCTTTTACTCATCTAAAAGCGAATGAAAAACTGCTAAATGGTACATCCTGAGTTTATGCCATCACATGGGGGTAATTCTCATTCCTGGGCTACCATACGCTCTCAAAGACAGCGTAGCAAACCTGTGCCATTTTCAATGTAAAAATATTTGACCCATATATTTGACCTTGTAACTTTCAAAAAATGCTATAAAACCTGTACATGGGGGGTACTGTTTTACTCGGGAGACATCGCTGAACACAAATATTAGTGTTTAAAAACTGGAAAACGTATCACAACAATTATATCATCAGTAAAAGTGCTGTTTGTGTGTGAAAAATGCAAAAAAAGTAACTTTCACTGACAATATCATCACTGTGATATGTTTTACTGTTTTGAATCACTAATATTTGTGTTCAGCGAAGTCTCCCGAGTAAAACAGTACCCCCCATGTACAGGTTTTAGGGTGTCGTAGAACGTTACAGGGTAAAATACAGTGCTAGTGATACCGAGAAACTGACGGAAGCAAAGCACAGAGGGATGGACACAGGTTTCTTCAGGAAGGAAGAGATTCTTTATTGGATCACCGATCGGGACTCAGAGGGACTAATGTCACCAAAAATACAGCAAGTTCTGAGCCCTGAACAATAGTGCAGGCTTCCTATATAGACACATAACTCCTCCCATATTAAGCTCCACCCGCACATTCTCTTGACCAATCATTACAAATAAGAATTAACTTCCTGCTTGACCGCATGGCTTGTCCAGCACAATGGAGGAGGGGAATACTACATCCTGTATTCTTGCACATGCTCCGTACACTACTGATCGTATCTTGCCTCGTGCAACCAACTGATCGATACGTCAGCATATGCACGTACACATGCCACGTGGTAATCTCGGCCTACTAAATTTATTTTTACCGAGATTCCACCACATTCCCCCCTTTGATGCCTCTTGATATTTTACAATTACTTGAGGCATCACTTAACCTTGGTTTGCATACACCACAAGTTACCTTTGAACCAGACCAGACTTATCCTACGATGTGAATCTTCAACACTCGTCTTCCTGCATTGGTTCTCCCTGATCTAGAGCCTTATATTTATAAATTGCCATTATCTGTGCAGCAGCCTTCCTCTCTGCTATATTTTCTATCAGGCTTTGCACAGACCTAACTACTAAGGGTATAAGACACGGCAGGAGTAGACACAACATTAAAATCAGTAGGACTCCACCTACCACTGCCTTAAGCCCTCCAAACCACTCATACCAGCTACCAAACCAACTACTTGGATTGTACCCTTTCCATACCTGAGTAGGCACATGCGCTAGTTTAACCATATGGCTAGTAAGCTCAGCTATTGCTTGCCCTTCGTCATCTATTTGAAGACAGCAATTGCTCAGGTTAAACTTCCCACATACACCTCCCTCTACTGCCAAAAGATAATCCAAGGCTAATCTATTTTGGTAGACTGCTGTCCTCATCCTGGTATTATGCTTCGCTAGAAGATTGAGCGCTTGTGATGTCTCGTTAGTAATGATCTCAACCACCGCCTGTAACCTTATAATGCGGTTGAGCATATAAATAGGGGTTCTATAACCAAAGGTACCATCCTCTGCCCACGTGGCTGGCCCATAATAATCTATAATACGCTGGGGAGGCCATTCATTATCTTCCCAGGCACCTATCTCTATGGGTCCCCTTTTCTTCCTATGATTCACATCATACACTTTAACACCTAAAGTCTCACCTGTTTCAATAGGCAACAAGAAGAAGGATGGTTTTAACATACCCAACACACATGCCCCTTCCCAGTCCTGTGGTAACTCCGAATAGGCCTTCTTACCACAGATCCAGTACAAATTCGCTGGGGCTCTCCAGTTAGATGTGATGGATAGATCAAACCATACGTCCTTTAAATTGGCATATCTTGCAAACGGGTTAGATGGTTCTGAGACATTTGAAGCCGACCACCAAGTTGTATTCTTTGTATCATCATCATAAGCTTTTTGCCCTAGACAAGTTAATTCTCCTACAGAAGTATTATACATCATTCCTTTCCTCGCTATGCAAACATAACCTATGATGGAGGTCTTCAATCTCCACTCAGATTTACCTCTAACACTCATATGATAGTCGGCTTGTGTAGATATTAATTGGTCAACTGCCTCAGAACCGGACATTACCTCCTTTGCTTCCCAAGGCCATTGGTCTCCCATGTTAGTACCTCCACACACATAGCAGTTGGTAACATTAAGACTACCGGCAATACTCTCGGCTAAATCAATGAACAAGTTTTTAGCATTATGGGGGATCTTATTATCTATGCTCATCTCTTCATAAAAGGAATGGTATACTTGATGAGTTTGGGAGGTTACCGTATCAGTCTCTATCCCTATAAACAATATTGTCCCAGGGTCTAAACCCGTCCCATATATTTGAAACCCAAATAAATTACCATATTTATCTAAGAACTTGTCAGGGTTATTTATAAGTATATGGATTGGATTGCATTCCATAGACTTACAATATGGATTAGTAGGCAACTTAGTCACAATCATGTCCTTGTCTGCTGTCTGTCCCCAAGTCGCCCACCCCACACAAGACCAATATGGGCAGAAGTTATAATCTCTATTTGGGCATCTTGGACTTACATATTTATTTTTACTACTGGGACAAATATATTTATCGTTAGACCCATACGTCCTCTCCCATCTAAGATCCCCACATACATTCCACGGCTTTCTACCACTTGATATTGCTTTACACGCATCAAATAGCAGAGCACCTGAAGAATATACGGATTTTAATACCGTCTTATTAATTAGGGTCCCCTGAGAATCTCCATTTCTGAGAGTCAACCAAATTGTACGGGGTTGATACTCAGGACTGAAGCACTTAGGTTCTCCTACTCCTAAATGACACACACTATATTCTATATTTAAGTATCTACATCTTGATACATCTCCTTTACACTCATATTGCGAATGCCAAATTAGGGTCTGGGATATATGGTTACCTGTTCTTGTAGTCTTAATGCATACCTCACAGCTAGGAGTGTTGGTACCTCTACCTTCCTGAATATAAAAATACACATAAATAAACATTATTAAAAATACATCTTTCGTCGTCATCCTCAGTCTTCGTCCGTGTGAAGGCACCTCAGCTTCCAGGATGTAAGGACTGCAGGGAATGGAGTTCTGCTCGTCTTCACAGGGGTCCCCTCAAGACTTTCCCTGACTTATACACTCGTTGGTGAGTGGACAGGCTTTATTATGGCCTTCTCACTCACTTACCAAGTCTCTGAAACAATAAAATTTGTAATCTACAAGGTTCCTCGTCACTCCGACTGAGTCGTGCGTTTTAACCGGATCTTGCAGGGATTCTCTGGATTTGCTGTAACTTGCCAGGAATCGGCTGCTGCTGGTTTAACCCTGGAGTGATGTATCCACGGAGCCACTTCGGCTACTTTTATCGCTGTAGGGGTAGACAGAAGAACAACATAAGGACCTCTCCACTTGGGCCCTAACGGCACATTATTCCACTCTTTAATCCACACTTGGTCGCCTGGGTGGTAACTATGAATTGGGGGATAAATATTCACAGGTAATCTATCTTGTACCCATTTCTGTACCTCCTCCATAGTCTTACCCAACTCTACAACCTGCTGCCGGGTAATTCCTTCTCCCAACTGACTCAAATCCCCCCTTAAGTTACCAAGCACGGGAGGTGGTCGCCCGTACATGATTTCAAAAGGAGAGAGGCCCATCCTTCTGGTAGGTGTACTACGGATTCGCAATAGAGCTATGGGCAAGAGAACGTTCCACTTAAGTTGGGTTTCCTGACACATTTTAGCCAACTGATTCTTAATAGTTCTATTCATTCTCTCTACCTTACCAGAACTCTGGGGTCTATATGCCGTATGAAGCCTCCACTTTATACCAAGCATATGAGTCAATTGTTGTAGGCACTGATGAACAAAAGCTGGACCATTGTCCGATCCTATAGAGCAGGGTAGTCCATATCGGGGTATTATTTCTCGTAGCAGGAATCTCACGACTTCTCCTGCTTTCTCTGTACGAGTAGGACATGCTTCTACCCAGCCTGAATAGGTGCACACCACTACCAGCAGGTAGCGATGTCCACCCGATTTAGGCATCACTGTATAGTCAATTTGTAAATCGGACATGGGAAGTCCCCCCATAAACTGGACTCCTGGTGGCTTTACTGGTCCTTGTCTTGCATTATTTTTAGCACACGTTACACATCTACGTACAATGGCCTGAGTCAAGTTGGACAATCTTGGTATGTAGAAATGTTTTCTGAGAGATTCTTCTGTACTGTCTCTCCCAGAATGTGTCCCGTTATGATAGTTTTGGACAATTTCTACCGCTAGTGATGCTGGAATAACTATTCTTCCATCTTCTAACTGATACCATTTGTTCTCCAAATACTTTCCAGGTTTAGTCCTTAACCACTCTTCTTCTTGAGCTGTATAAATTGGAGTCCATTGAGACAGTGGAGTTGGTATAAGAGCATCTATATGCCCCACATATTCCTGTCTTCCTGATTCAGCAGCACGCTTAGCTGCACTATCTGCCATCCGATTCCCTTTGGTTACATCACCATCTCCTCTCAGATGCGCCCGACAATGTATAATACCGACTTC